GAGATCACTTTAAAAAAAAGCGTTTTTACTAGACGTGTAGAATAAATCTTGCTTTTCTACTATGCACCCAACTGTCGTTCAAGTAATTGTCGTTAAAGTAAAATTGGATCGAAAGAACAAGAACAATTAAACTCTTCGTATCGCGTACATATCTTAATTTTAATCATTAACTTAACAATATGGCGTCATTTTGGTGTCATTGTATAAATGGATGACGTCATTTTGCTGCTTATGAATATAATATTTTTTTTCATTTATTATGATGTCTTTGTTAATCCATTTCCTTCTGTGTGTATATTGACAAAAGCACGAGTCATGCTAGAATTAGATGTTTTTCTCGATGCTGTGTTAGCCGTAACGCCGGTAAGTAAAAGCAAGTTAAAATCACATGTCGTTCTTCATCTTTCTATTATTGTCCATATTATAAATAAACTCATTCTCAGATACATACATAATGTGTAAAGAATAACATATAAAATAATAAACAAAATTTCAATTCATTTTTTTCCAAAATAAAAAAAAACATTTGAATTGCTTTGAATTTGAAATTGTATATTGCATATTTGATTTCTTTTTTATACTTAAGAAGGTAAGAACTAGGGGTCATATCCAAAATTCATAAAAAGGGTTTAATAGACACGCTTGTTAGAAAGTTGAAACGCCAATTTAAACACATTATTTGTCAAATCTGAGCCGTCGGTCCATCTCACCACTGGCTTTCCTGGTGAACCGTATTCGAAATCATCAAAACAAACTTTCAGACTAATTTCCAGGATATTTGGATCAAAATAGAAGGCACAAGAGTGTAAAGAAGATTTTACTTTTTTAACTGTTGTGACCTAGTTTTCCATCCGAGATGACCCTTGTTCGAACTCATCCGATTATCTAGACAAGCATCCTGACAAAGTTTGATGATTGAGAAAAAAAATGTGACCACTAGAGTGTTAAGGAGGAAATGAGGACGGACGAAAGACGACAAAGATTCAACGATCCTTAAAGCTCACCCAGAGCTGGCTTAGGTGAGCTAAAAATCATTCAAAACATGATTAGATGAAAAAATTACCTTGAACATTTTCAGACGCCAAGAAAAGGTGCTTGTATAATGTATGACGTACTGAGAGTAATGAATTTAAACATTCACACCATACCAACACAATAAAGCAGATATGACCGAGAATGTTTCTTCACACCTTGTGCACACTCAAAGGAGATTAAAATAAGATATTCACTAGACGCAAATCCTTTTTCAAATGCTTCTCTAAAATGTTTAACTGTTTCAAGAGTTAATCAGGAAAATCTTGTTTCTTTTATTCAGACCTGCAAAGACGGATGCCAGTTTAAACAGAAATTTTAAAACTGAAAACTTTACATAATATCTAATATATAAATGGGCATTGACAATAACATATATCGTACTTGTAACTTGAAAATATAAAAAATAGTTTTCTGACTTGGTTGTGAATAATAATAATAATAATAATGATGATGATGATGATGATGATGATGATGATAATGGTGATGATGATGATGATGATGATCAATGATGATGTTGAAGATGATGATGATGATAATAATAAAACAATTGACACGCGAAATAAACGAATATCGAATTAAGAAAAAAAAACAACAACAAAAAAACTCAAGGAAACGTTTTAATAATATAATCAGTAAAAACCGCACAAAGCTTCTAATTAAAGAACTTGTCATAGTTCTTCCTTGGTTGAATATGTTTTTCAAAAATTGAATACCCACCCACCTATAAATTATGTACGCAGTTACATGTATATTGGCTTGCTGTGGAGCCGTTAAAGACTTAGGTAGTTTGAACTTTACAGTACCGTCCATGAACAGGCTCAATCAAACCGAGCCTGCAACATTTTCAATTTTGCTATGTTGGGCTTTCTTGAGGGATTCTTATTTCACTCTATTAGATATAAATGAAGCCTAGCGACTTAAATGAAAACCACCGGTAAACATTAGAAACAATATTTTGTGAAGTTGCCAACCGATATCAGCCTTTATTGAACTATTTGAAGTATGGCAGTTTATCATTTTGAACACTTCCTTTCAATTGACAATCTTGAATTCAAATTGGCTGATCAGTTTACAAAATCCCCACTTGTTTGTATATACACTTGCATTCATTTGTTTGCATAAACCATTCAGCAACTGACAGGCAGGATAAAGGTTTTATTCTCTATAAAATGTTGGCTTATCATACATAGCCTATTCAAACATCTGCTTGTTTACACCTGAAACATTTCTTATGCCCTAAAAACCATTTGTTAAGCATGTGATAAAATTGAGGCCACTATTTTTTGTATCTCAGATTTTTTTTTCCAAAAAAAAGTTAGGCTTTGAGAAGAAAATAAAAAATAAATACAATGAGCTTCAAACCCCCCCCCCACACACCTAAACATCTTACCAATGACTACAAGCACAGCAAATCCCCGGACATTTGTCCCTCAGGACACTCCTTTCCGACCTAAAGAATGCATAATTGAACAAGTGGCTCTCAGGAGTAACGTAGTGGAGTCTAAATACGCGCAGTATGATCGCGGTAGCGTCTTCATGATTGGAAAGCTCTACGCTCTCGCCACGTTTATTTTGAACGTGCTCAAAACAAGTGTAGCGGGAACGTGGTCAACAAGAATCGGGGTAAAGTCGTAAAAAGAGTGCGGTAGAAGCGCCGTAATTGCACAAGCAGCGCGGAAGCATCGTGGATAGTACTTCATGATCGTAGTAAAAGCGCAATAAAAGCATAGTACAGTCGGGAACATACCGAGTTCGCTTCTGTTACGTTCCCACTATGTTCTTAATACGTTCCCACTTCGATCTCTCTACGTTCATGACGATCCTACGAAGACCTACCATAACCCTACGACGATCATACCACTACCTGACAGGTAGCAGTTTGTTTTTATACGCTGCTATTTGACCAGACAATCTGCCAAGTACATATATAGGGCGGCACTTTACTTGGCGATCATTTGCAGCTCCGCCTGTTAACAATCTGTGCTGTGAGTAAAACATTACGGCGATCTAATCGCTTTTATAAACAAACTCAACGAAGTTAAGAAAGTTTTAAAATGTAATTGCGAAAGCTCTGCATTAAACACCACATCTTGATTGGACTTTGGAATTCAAAATCTTAAAATAAATATTTACTCTCCAAGTTTCTTTTTTTTTATTTTCAAAAAACAAAGTGTCGTCGGGTCTGAGAAACGAAAGAACAATGAACAGTGGCCTAAAATATAATAAAAGATCAAAGGTCAGAGGAAACAACCCCATTACTCACACAGCCTCTAGCATATCAGTCTTATCAATGTGGGACATTAGTGTAAAATGTTCAACCTATACCTCTTAAACAATCACAATACTTTAGTAAGTAAATGAATCAAATAAACAACACTTGTTAAGGGGCATTAAAAAAGACAAGATGAAACTTAAAAATGTTTGACAGTTTATCATGCTTAAGCGAAAAGTGACATCTATCCTTTTGGTATTTTAAGTAGTCTATTTAATACTGAAATCCCAAAGTATCCAAAACAAACTGACCAATTTATAAGAATGTAACTCTTTTTCGGTAAGTACCTACTGATGCATCGCTCGGTTCCATTACACAAGGACCAATCAACTCAATCACATATTGTTGATAAAAAGAAAAACACAATAAAAAAGAAAACAAGAAAAAGCTATGTAACATTTAAAATGAATTGTATGCTTTTGTTCATGCAAAATCCACAGTCCATGACTAAGATATTTCTATTGTTTTCATAGAGTTAGGAGTTATGCTTTCAAAAAAGCGCATGCATTAAGTTCCGTGAACTTTTTCCTGCAATATAACAGTTACCTACATTTACTCAAAAGCATATTGAATAGGCCAGACATAGATCATTTATCGGCCGTTTTTTGAAAAATATAGTCACCATTAATCTCGCGGCAACTGATTTTCACCTTTGCTTTTAATATTATGGTAAAAAATACTTAAAGTTAAATAACTCTTGTAAAATATTTATTCATTTATATTTAATAATAACGATAGTAATCTTTACATCGACATATGTGGTATATTAAACAAGAAGTGTCTTTATAAAAGATACCTGGCCGAAGTCAAACCAAGTATGCAAACCGCAAACAGAATATTTTATTCGTCCTCAATAGTTTAATTTCATTTGATTTTTACCCGCAAGGCTTTTCCCCATTAATTGTCATCTTAGATTTAAACAAAATGACTTACATTATTTGATTTTATTCAAAATGGAATTTTATTTGAATAGGAATTGCTAATAAAACATTTAGCAGAAACTATAACCGAAGCTCTTTCAAAGTATAAATCGAACAGGCTATTAGTATTAAAATGACCAATGAAAATTCTGCCTATATTAATTTCTTTACTGTTTATTTTAGCGGAACAGATGGCCTTCGGCTAAAACTGACAATAATGTTAGGGAATATCGTGTAATTGTATTCAATTTCAAAATAGTCATAAACTTAAACTTATCTTACATTGCGCAAAAACAACAGCATAATTAGAACCAAAATAACAAAACACTTCAGCTCACAGTGCCGTGAAAAGTTTAATTCCTGAAATGAACAAAGGTGCATACAATGACTTCAGATTCATTACTTATTTTACTCTAAAGTGACATGTTTGGAGAACAAAAGAAAGAATGATAGAAAATCAATAGCAAATGTCCAAGTTAAAAGAAAATAAATTGTAGACCAACGCCACATATTGGTTTAGATTACTTAAAGTTCTTCAATTTCAATAAAAGAATGGCATATATTAAGAATTGAATGGATATAGATAAGTGACAAGGTACATTTTTCAGTATCAAATATGTTTCAAATAGGGCTGTCAAGACTTTCAATGTTTTGAGGATTGAAACCATTAGCTACTATCAAGGGGTATAAAATGAAAAGCAGGGCATGCCCTAGTCAGATTTGATATTGAAAAGGTAAATGCCGAATGTGCATGCTCCTTTTTATTTTTTCACATTAGAAAAAAAGGATAATATTAGTTTAATACAATACTATGAAACACATTTTTTTGACATAGCTCTTTTTTAAATTAAGGTAAACTTTGAATTGAACAATTCGAACTCGAATTGTTACTTACCTCGAATGAAATAAAAAGGAGAGTGGAATAATTAAAGATATATTGTTTTTTCAGGGGAAAAAATGAAGCTTCAAACAAGTGTTTTGATTTGCCTTTGCTTGGTAGCAAGTTTAATTCAGCAAGGTTTGCTTTTTAAAATTGATTTTTGGTTATTTAATATTAGATGTTCAATACATGTAAATCGATTCATTAGAAAAGAAGTTTATTCAGTATACTTGTTTTAGTTGTAATGTCTTAGTGAAATATTAAGTGTCTAAAGAAACCACAAGCAATAGTCTATCAAACTCCATAATTATAAAAAATAATTTAAACAAAAAGAACAAGCTCAAAACAAATTAACACAAAATATCAAACAGGAAAATCATTTTGAACTCTGTCGCAATGTAATTTACTTTGAGATAAACAGGAGAATGAGAATAAATATCAATTATATGAGAATCAGAATATTATTAAACATCTAATTTTGTTTCTTTTAAAAAGGCAAAACAGCATCGGCTGCTCCTCCTGGTCCAGGTTCTGGTGGTACAGGAAGTGGAAGTGGATCTGGAGGGACAGGGACTGGGACTGGTACGGGAACGGGCACAGGCGGGGGTGGTGGAGGTGGAGGTTCGTCAGGTAAAAGAAATTATAATAATTCATCATCAATATAATTATTTTCAACATTATTTAAATCCATCTATCCATTCCACTTATTTGATTATTCAAGTGCCTTGTCCAGTATATACCGGAATACGGTATTTAGTGTGTTGCTCCAGTCCTTTTTTAGTCTCACTCCTATGAAAACGCATTTGTGATAGAAATGACGTCTATTTGATTTTACACCACAACGTCTCTCTCTTTGTCCTGACTTTCAAAACAACCAAAACTTAACCGACATAACGTCTAAGCTGATTTATCCCGTAAAGCTCTTAAGCTCTTTCTTGATTAGTTTTTTATTTAATATAAAGAATAAAATACATAACAAAATCGAAGCAATTTAATATTTATGTAAAGAATAAAAAACCTGCCTTGAGTGACAGTATATATAAAGAACTGCATGTTAACGTATTGCATATGCTCAAGTTCTAATTTATACTGTCAAAGTGAAAACAGATTAAATGCAAGATGTTTGTTATTCAAAAAGCCTGTGTGTGCGCTGTATTAAAACATTCTTTATCTATTTTATCAAGTACTTTGGATAAAATGTCATGTTAGCCGTGATCGTCAGTCATTTTTTAAGATAATGTGGCGGTATGAAAGTTAGATATAGGCCTCGTTCATTGACCATTCTCTTTCGGAAAGACCTGGTCACCAATCATGTGGAATTCGTAACAAGATATTTCATAAATACTCAGTAATTACCTATACTTTATGACCGTAAAAGGGAACATTAATTTTAGCGCTATTCTTTCATAAAGTATACATCATATTTGGTAATTCCGCAAATTTCGCAAATACAGAAACCATTTTGTCATACTTTCTACGTGCTCGTGCGATGACAAATGAAAGAGGGGTTATGATAATGAAACTAATAGGGCCGACTTTGTAGTCAGCTTTTTTACATTACGCCCAGATAGAGAAATGAAAATATAAAAATACATGCAACAACAGAGCGTGCTCTCGTGACTTCATCCGTTAATGCATGTTTTCTTATCCGTTGATGTACGTGCACAGTTTTAAGCAAGAATGCTTTTTTTGCGTGATTTCGTCAGACTTACCAATGGACCTTTGAGATGTTTAAGGTTTTATGAAAATTGACTGACTAGCAATCCAGTTGCTGCCCTAAAACATTGGTTAATATTGTAAAGGCAAATAAACACACTGGATTTTTAGTTATACTGTTTGTGACCTAGCATTAAATAAAATAGTCAAGGCTTATACTGTTTGTGAGACCTAGCATTGAATAGAATAGGCGAGGCTATATCTATTGCTGCTTCAACCTGGAAAAATCCATACACGGTGATTACCACGGCATAGACACAAAACTAAAAACTAAAAACATTAATACATCTCATATCCTTACATTTATATACTATACTTTTCTATTTCAGCTGTTCGAGTGAGTGGTGTCATGGTTGCATTGACAGGATTTTGTGCTTTCCTCTACAACATGAAAACATTTAACTAAAAATCTTAGTCTAGTGACACCAAAGTGTTTTCTGAATTTATGATTGTGTTATAAATATAGTTTGTTACATTGCAAGTGATAAGGTTGGTTTCTGATGACGAAATGAGGAAGTTCATTTTCGAATAACAATTACCATTTCATTTATTAGACGTTTAATATACTTTACTGCTATCAGTGGCACATATTCATTTTGGTAAACAATGACGAAATTAACTGCCAGCCAGTTGACTTCCGATTACCCGAGTTTTATATCTGCTTAAAAATAAAGATAGTTGAAAAATTATATTGTTGAGTATATTCCTTGCTGCAAAAACGACCTTCGGAATCATAGTATATTAAGCCCGCAGAAATAAGTTCTCGAACGGTATTAGTAAAATTTACTTTGGTTATTTTAAAACAAAAAGCTGAAATCAGGGAATCTCATTGGCCATTCTAAGAGTAATATAATAGTAAAAGGATCTTTCTTAATCGTATACACGTCCAAATTAAAAAAAAAATATAAAGGAATACATGTATCGCAAACAAACTTTCTAGTACATTGCATCAGGTATTTGAAAACTTCCTCCCAATGAACATTTAACACTACTTTAAAATATACATTTAACTCGTTTCAAATAGCTAATTCAACATAAGAATTAGTCAAATTTTAAATGACATCCTATAATTGTGTCTTTGCAAATGACGAGACTATAAGACTACCAATGATGTTTGCTCACGACCCCAGAAACACATCGACACCAAATGAAAGAAGTATACCGGAAGATTACTGGTACACTCAGTAGATTATTATCAGCGTTCAATTTGATAAAAATTCGCATATTAATAAAGCCTTGATTGTAATTATATTAATGTGTACATGATTATTTAAATGTAAATTACATGTACACAAACGGAAGCAAGAGTTTCATGTAGAAAAAAGTAAGTCGAAGCAGTTTACCTCGTCTGAATATCTTTTAAATATACTTCATGTTTCTTAGATATAATGATTAAAAATAAAATTCATCATGATCTTTGAAGCAGCCAATGATTGACCTGAATGTAGTTCACTTATAACGCAGCTGTGTAAAAAGAATTTTTTTTTTCTACAAAGTTTTGATGACATTAAACCAGTCACGTGTTAGTGCCATAGCATTGAATCACAACAAGATTTTAAAGCATGATTCGTCACAGTTACTTGATACTTGTTAGAGTAACTTTTAAGTATTGTTATAGTTTTCTTGCAAACTGTTGAGTAGTGATAGTTAAGCCGGTGTTAGGGGATGTGAGAAATGTTGAACTATCTATAACCTCTCACTGACAAACTCATATAAATCAATTATAATTTTTTCAACTGTTTGTTTTTGTGTTTATTTCTTTGAGTGATCTGTCCTTTCAAGATTATTTAGGCAAAAATCAAGCGATATTTAGAGAAAATACCAACGTTTTAATAGTACTTAAGTTAAATATATAGCCATGGGAATTAAGTGAATTACTTACCACAGTTTCCCAAATTACTGCCAACTACTCCATAAGAATCAGAGATGAAGTTCAAATTATTTCATAAACAATTCATATTAAGGCTTATGCACGAAATAATTATAGTCCATGGACCTTCACTTTTACCTACTTATCTTAGCGGGTTGGCTTAAGCCTATTAAGTATTGAAGGTTCAATAAGTTAAAGATAATACAATTTTAATTCATATTATCACTTAAGTATGTTTTAAATAAAGCTATAAAATGTTGCAATTGGATATAAATATTTTGCTAGCGTGCCACGGACTTGGGTATCCTTTGTTTTGAAATTTGTCCATTTAATTGATAACCGAACTTAAGTGTTTCTTACATTGTACGATTGACCTTTGCAAATAACGATCCCTAACGATGCAACGGATCATGTAAGGAGAAAAAAGTACAAATAAAAATCCGGTTTCATCGACGATTTACGTAAATTGTTTCTTTTTTGAAGATGTTGTTAAGTTCATGTATGTCATATATTTGTAAATACAATAAAAGGATATATATATTTTTTAAATGAATATAACGTTTTTTCATATTGTTAACCAGGATCATCACTTTAAAAATTTAAAAGGCGAGACAAAGCAACAAACAAAGTAATAATGAATTCTCTTTGTTATCTCAAATAATACCATTTTTAACTGTTTTAAATATTGCATGACGCATTGGGCATGCTTATTTGTTTTTATTACTATAGCGAATATTTAGTATTAAGTTGCTAAAAGCACTTAAAGCACTTCCCGTTATTAATTAATGAAGAAGTTAAATGCTATCCAACAAGAGTAAAATGTTCCTTAAACAATATTACCTTTCCGGCAGGCAATATTTGTTTAATAGGGATATATCGTTTGTATTGAATTAACAAAATGTTGATATCAGTTGTATTAAATGTTGATGGAATATGATCATATTGTTTTCTATACACGGCAATATGGTTCGATTAAACACATTATAATTGCTATATTAAGATTTTATTTTTGTATCTTCTCGATAGAAAGAAGTATTTAATGTTTGTAATATTCTGGAAGAAAGTGATCTTTTGATCTCAAGGCAATGGAAACAACACTAAATATATTGTATGAAAATTACAGATTCTGTTTGATATATTCTTGCATATCAGACAGGATTATCTACCGTTTTCACCGGTGTAAGAAAACTCTGTCTTACACCCCCATGTAAGACAAGTCGCGTGTGTTAAATGACGTCATTGACGCGGGCCTTTTATGAATGAATTGCGTTCTTATGATGACGACATTTTTCCTTATGAATGAAGTTGTATGCTCATACGCTACTATAAGAAAAAAGTGCGTAATGAGAATATCAGTTTTCATAATTTCTGTTCCGAAAATAATTGACATGCAATATGCATGAAAAAGAATCAAACACTGACTGTCGGTGCAGACGGAAATATTTAGCTCTCGGGTAACTGTTTAGCGGAAATTCAACAGAGCCTCGTTACCGCTGTTATCAGTTCCCTCGAGCTAGATATTCCGGTCTGTACCGGCAGCCGGTGTAAGATTCTTATATTCTGTTCATGGGGGATAATATATAAAAGTGCAATCTAATTAAAATTAGCTACTAAATAAATTACGCTATACATTGGGATTTAACATCAACTCACAGACAGTCACATCTCGTGGTCTTTCAACAACCAAACGTTGGCGAGCTTTCATTATCCTGAAAGCGATGCGGTCTTGGAAAACCAATACTGAATACGTAAATTTTCACGATTTCGAGAACAGACATGACGTTTTCCATATAGCCGGCAAGTAGACTAGCAAAACAATTCTGCCTATTAAAATTGATTATATCATTTTAATTTTATTTTGTTAAAAATAACTTCAAACATTTTTTTGCTAACTAAAATCACAATTTGTTATGAAAGTTCCACGGATTACGGTATTTTGATACTAATGTCTATCTGTAAAAAACAGGTTTGATTGCATTGCTAAAATAGCTCTCTCGGGAAATTAAATTTTAAAGAAGGCGAAACATATACGATCGTCATCAGA